CTCCCAAGTAGCTAAGATTACAGGCATGAGCCACCGGTGCCCGACAAGACTCAGAAAAATTAAAATTGATCAGCTGATGTGGAGAGAGCTGGCACTTAACTTACCCCAGCTCTGTGTGCCTCTGGGATCTGTGCTTTTTGCCTCTATATTCCATCATACATAACATTCTTTCTGATCATGTAAAATTCTGAGAGTGAATCTTTTTATTTAAAAAACTGACTGTTGGACATCACATTCTGTACCTCAAATACACATTATCTAAAACACAGTCTAAAATGAAATTTGCAATCTTGTTACTATTTCCTGTATTGCAACTACTGCTCCTCTCCTATCTTTTTTTTTATTTCCTTTTTTTTTTGATGGTACTGGGATTCAACTCAGGACCTCACACTTGCTGGGCAAGCACTCTATCACTTAAGCCACAGTCCCCCATCCCTATCCCCTGTCTTGTGAACACTGCCTAGTCATGCTAACCTGTAACCTGTTATCACTGAGTTTCTCCTTTTCCTGTGTGTACCTCTGCTATTTCACTTCACATCTCTCAATCTCACTACTGCCACCCTTCTCATGGAGCATTCCCTGTGTCTCACTTGGATCACTATAGGCACATCAAAACTGCTCTCTCCTGGCCTCAGGCTTACCTCCCTCTAATCCCATTTTAGCAGTAGCTAGTACTGTGTGCCTTCACCCACCTGTACACTCTGTACACCTCTAGTTCCTGTCCCACATGGACTCACTGTGTTCAATTTGAAGTCTTAGTTTAAAAGTTACCTTTCCTGGGAGCATTTAATGCCCACATATCTGGGTGAGATGTCTTTTAAAAAATTTTTTTGGTGATGCTGGGGTTAGTTAGATGTCTTTTCTCTTTTTTGTAGCCCTGTTTCTTGACAGGTGCTGGTGGCTCACACCTGTAATTCTAGCAGAGATCAGGAAGATTGTGGTTCAAGGCCAGCCCAGGTAAAAGAAAGACCCTATCTCAAAAATACCCAATACACACACACACACACACACACACACACACACACACACACACACACACACACGGCTCAAGTCATAGAGCACCTACCTAGCAAGCATGAGGCCCTGAGTTCAAACTGCAGTAACACCAAAAGAAAAAAAAAGATTTCTTTGCATTTGCTATCATTTAATGAATGATTGAAAATCACAATTAGGTATTAGTATCATTTCGAACTGGAAAAGCACTGAGTTGGTATTCAGAAAACCTGGATGTTAGTTCTGTATGTCTAGCATCTAATCTCTTGGCTCTTGCCTTAGAAATAATGTGAGTACTACATTAGGGCCCTGACTTTTAGCTGGTGGTATCATTTGGTTTTCACCTTGGAATTCTTTGTCAACCACTTTTCTAGAATAATTTGATTCTGGAAGCTGAAGTAAAAATCTAAACTCTAAGGTAGGAACTTGTCCTCAGCCCAGCTGGAGCTTCCTATCCTTCTTTCCCAGCTTCTAATGAGTTTTAGAGATGAAGCCACAGTATCTCCAGCCTGCCTTAGAAGGCTCTGTAGACTCATTGTATCTATCTGTTTGTTTTGGGACAGGATTTCACTATGTAGCCCAGACAGGCCTTGAATTTATCATTCTCTGAGTACTTCAGATTATTGGTCTGTGCCACCACACCTAGATTTATTATGTTTTAGTTATTCCTTTTAATTTTTTTTTGGTGGGACTGGAGTTTGATCTCAGGACTTTGTGCTTGCAAATCAGGTACTCTACCACTTGAGCCATGCCTCCTGTCCATTTTGCTGTGGTTATTTTGAAGATGGGTCTCGCAAACTATTTGCCCAGGCTGGCCTAGAATTGTAATCCTTCCTATCTCAGCCTCCCAAGTAGCTAAGATTACAGGTGTGAGACACTGGTGCCCAGCTTTTCTTTCTTTCCTTTTTTTTTTTTGATACAGGGTCTTACTATGTAGTCCAGGCTGGCCTGCCTCAAACTCTCTAAGTAGTCCAGGCTGGCCTTGAACTTGTGGTCTTCCTTCTTTAGCTTCTAGAGTTCTGGTATTACAGGTGTGCACAACCACACCTGGCTTGACAATGACTTTTGAATCTACTTGGAAAAAAAGACTACCATTCTTGCTACTTGGTAATGTAGTTTCATGTGGAGTTAATTGTCCTCCACCAGAGAATCTTTAGAAAACATCTTTAGATCTTTAGTCTTGTTGGTTTTTTTTTCAAGTCTTAGACTTGAACTCAGAGCATCAGGCTTGCTAGACAGGCATTCCACCACTGAGCCACATCCTTAGCTCCATTAATCTTCTTTGTGCCTTTGTCCCTCTGCAGATAAATGGACACTGATGAGACTTTATTATAATTGTTGGTGTGAACCTAAGGAAGAAAGTTCTCAAACTTTGCTCACCAGTGTAATAGCCACTAGCTACATGTAGCTACTGGTCATTTTAAATGTGGCTAGTCCAAATTGAGGTAGACTGTAATGGTGAAATTTATTCCAGATTTCAAAGACTTAGTATAAAAAAGTAAAATTCTTATTAATTTTTTTTTTGTTTTTTTGGTGGGACTGGAGTTCAAACACAGGGCTTTGTGCTTGCAAAGCAGGCACTCTACCACTTGAGCTGCACCTCTAGTCAATTTTGCTCAGGTTATTTTGGAGATGAGGGTCTTCTGAACTATTTGCCTTGGCTGGCCTCGAGTCTCCGTTCTCCTGATCTCAGCCTCCTGATTAGCTAGGATTACAGGTGTGAACCATGGTTTTTTCATTAATAATTTTTTAACACTTATCATGTGTTGAAATGATAATGTGTGTGTGTGTGTGTGTGTGTGTGTGTGTGTGTGAATGTGTCATTAAACTTGATTTCAGTCAGGCATGAAGCTCAAGTGTTAGAGTGCCTGCCTACCAAGCAGAAGGCCCTAAGTTCAAACCCCAATACAACCAAAATAAAATACACGTTTGGCTTGCGTCTGTGGTTTGCATAATATTTCTATTGGACAGTGCTGCCCTAAGAAAGTTGCACACTTCAAAAACAGTACCTATAAAGTGTCCCACAAACTTGGGAGTGGTACACAGGACCAGATCCTCCCACCTAAAGGTGATAGCAGTCTTCTCAAGTTCAGAGCTCTAATGATGCAAGGACATCCCGGTCTCTTCATCCCAGTAGGTCCAAATTCTGTGTAATTGGATGGCCTCATGCTCTGATATAGCAAATAGAATTTACCCAAATCCTTCCCTCTTCTATGCCTATTCCAAAGACCTATGAATCTATGCTTAGTGTTAGGGTCCTGAAGTTAGCTTTGTTAAAACTAGGAAGTGATAGAAGATGGATCCCACCCCATTCATAGCCCCCTAAGTCTGACATTGAAGTTTTTGTGAATCTAGTCAGCAAACAGGGACACCTCCTTTCTTAACCCAGACCCCTTTGGGAAATTTAGAGCTGGGGGATGGCAGTAATATGAATAACAATAAAACAACTGTGCTTTCCTATTACAGTTTTTCTTATTTAATGTTTTTTTCTCCTAATGTTGTAATAGGTTAGTTTTTCAGACCTTCAGCAAGTATTTATTGAGCACCGGTTCAGTGCAAGGTGCCATTCTAGATGGTAGGTATACTTCAGTCAATTAAACTGGATGAAGGAAGCTGACATCCTAGACACATACTTTAATGCTAAGTTGTGAGTCATAGGATATGACATAGGGTTCTGCCAGGTGCTTTTTATTTATGATGTGTCGAGTTAACCTTTGACTTGGAAGATATGTCATCTCCTCAAAGAACTTCAGAATTTGTTCTCTTGCTTTTATTGTCTTTGTCACTTTCTCCAGAAAAGGGGATATGTGTGATAGGGAGGGAGGGAGGAGGGACAATGCAGGACCCTGTGTTTTTTGCTTCTTACTTTGTGTTGAATAGGTAATTTTCTCCTACAGGAATTGAGGCATGGAAACACTTTCTTAACTAATTGGAAATGAATTATAATGATTTTGGGAGTTAATTTTAATTAAAATGTGCATTCTTACTCTGAAAGAGTAAGTACTCTGGCACTCAAATGTTCCACTATTAGGTGGAAAACTAATGTTGCTAAATTGAAAAAATATGATTTTAAGTAAAATTGTGGAAGAATATGTAGCAGCACATCATTGTTAGTTTTCCACCCCTGATTTTGATGTTTTATAATGAGGGTCAACAATTTATGACAAAAATTTCATGGAGTGTCCAGCTCTCTGCTGACAGGCTCTATTTCCCTTTATAAGAGCCAGAATTTGGTGGAGTGACTCAAACAGTAGAGTGCCTGCCTAGCAAGCATGAGGCCTTGAGTTCAAACCCCAGTGCTGCCAAAAAAAAAAGAAAAGAAAAGAAAAAAAAATGCCAGGGCATTACTGCATTTTCCTTCCAAGGAACTCACATAGTATGCACATCCCTGCCTGAGCATCATATGACCTTGTCTCTGCATCTAAGAAGAATGAGGAGTAGAATCTCTGCCACTATTATTAGCATTATGTCAGCTTATTATTATTTTTATTGGTTTTCCTGTTCTCTAAAAGAAATCCATATTATTAATTGGTCGATGTATTAATTTTCCTACAACCAGAGAGCCAGTTCAGCTTAGTAAGGAGTGAGGAATTTCCTCCTCATTTACCTAGGTTTCGTCTGATCTAAAGAGAAGTTATTTTTGTCGTTGTTTTCTCTTTTTCTAAGAAGAAGCTATTTCCTTTTTTTGTTTGTTTTCTGTTGTTTGAGGCAGGGTCTTCTTATGCACCCCAGGCTGGCCTCAAACTCACTGTGTAGTCCAGTGTAGCATTGAACTCACAATCCCAAGTGCTGAGAATACAAGTGTGCATCACTATACTCAGATAGGAGAACTTTTTCTTGATGCATTATAACTTTTATGGATCTATCAGAAGAGTCAAACATCTTATGTGGCATTTCATCTGATTGAATATTTCCTATTTGTGACAAACTTCAGTTGCTCTATAACCTCAAATATCTTTGATATCTACATTGGCATTTTTACACTAATACTGCAATTTGTTTTTCAGGTTTTTAATTCAAAAACAGCTGAACTACTTAGTCATCATCAAGTGGAAATAAAGCAGGAATTCCCAAGAGAAGGGTATGTTTCCTAATTTAATACATAAAGACGCGTCATGTTTATTGATTCATCTCATCCCACATTCCCTATGGATTTGTAAAGTAAACTTGGCCAGACACCCTCCTGAGAAGACTTGAAGGACTGTGATTGGTCAAGAGAAGAAGCAGTAGCAAAGTAGTTCAGCAAAAACATATGGGTAATTAGTGCCTTAGGAATTAAGTGACAGAAAAGAAAAGGATGATAACGTAGTAAGGCTAAAGAGTAAGTATTAAATATCAAAAATTCTATATTAACTTTGAAGCCATTTCTTTCTGGGTCCCCATTGTTGCTCAAATGGTATTTCACTGAGTGTAAGTTTCTGGGTTTTTTTTTTTTGTAATAAGGATATCTGGTTTTTTTTTAAAGCATTCACATGTCTTATGTAATACTAAAATCATCCTTTCAGAGAATAGTGTTCATTTGTAGTAATTGTAATTAAATACAATTATAATGATGTTTATAATACAACCCTTTCAAAAACTGTATGGCCTTTTCTTGTGAAGTTAACCAAGTACCTACAGAATTCCACTCAGGAGTTTATAAAAAAAATTGAAAGAATATGTCCACAGAAAGGCTTACACATGAATGTTTGCAACTACTTTATTCATTATAGCACCAAACTGAAAACCACCCAAATATCTGTTATCAGTAGAATGGATAACTTCTAAAAAATGAGCTGATATAACATGGATTAATCTCATCAATATTATGAATTGTGAAAAAAGCACAAATAAGTACATACTGCATGGCTCCATTTATCTGAAAGTCAATAATAGATTAAATTAATCGAGGATATTAGAAATCAGAAAAGGGTTTGCATGTGGACTATGTGATTGATTTGGAAGAAGTATGAAAGAGTTTTCTGAGGTGATAGAAATATTCCTTATCTTGACTGCTATATCTAGGTATATGCATTTGTCAAAACTTAGCAACATTTATACTTTAGATCCATACATTTCACTGTAACATTTACCTCAGTTTAAGAAAAAAAATTGATGTAGTACGAAATAGTATGATTTTCTTTCCATGAAAAAGTTCTATTTTTTTAAAAGGAATGCTAAAAGCTATTGATATGTTAGCAGCGTTAGAATAACTGTCACAGGCTTGATCCCAGTGTAACTTGGGGGGAAAATATACTTGAGTCTTGTAGGGATAAAAATTAGAATTATATGGAAGGAGATTGGGGTTTAGAAAAGAGAGAATTTGAAGGTAGAACTCAAAGCTCAGGAAAGGGAAGACAGAGAAGAAAAGCACTTAAAGTTGTGTTTCTATTTCTAGATCTTTGAGTAGATTTTTTTTAGTGGGGGTCATTTCTACTTTTGGGCTTCTTCAAATCATTATTTTGGGCATCTCATTTGTTATTCACCTTTCATTCTTCTGAGATGCTGGTACTTTACCAAAATTGCACTGGGAATCAATCTGAAATGTTGAATCAGTCACTTGTCCACATGAAATGATTATTAGAAAGAGTTTAAAATTTTTTTCTTAAATTGTCACACAACATTTCTTGGAGACGGAGTCTGCCTATATAGCCATGCTGTACTTGAATTTGAGATCTTCCTGCCTCAGCCTCCTGAGAGCTGGTATCATAGGTATGTGACTCCAACAAAACTTTTTGGGACCAAAGTGGCAAAAAAGGTTAGTATATTTTGCTGGACACCAGTGGCTCATGCCTGTAATCCTAGATACTTAGGAGGCAGAGATCAGGAGAATGAGATCAGGAGGATCGTGGTTCGAAGCCAACCAGGGCAAATAGTTTGCGAGACCCTATCTCGAAAAAACCCTTCACAAAAACAGGCTGGTGGTGTGGCTCGAAGTGTAGGCCCTGAGTTTAAGCCCCAGTACCACAAAAAAAATGTATATTTATTTAACTTTTCAGAATTCCTCTTGCTTTCCAAATATGAGTTGTAAGAAGGGTAAATATATTTTCATCCACTGAGAAATAACAAGTGAAACATGCAGATAGTTTATAAAAATTCATCAAACTCATAGGATATAAAAGAATTGGGGAATTGATTTCTTTTTTATTGAACTTGAAAAAATAATTAAAAATATGTAGAATATTTTGCTATTTGTGGCTTGCTATTAGTGGCCTCCTTTAAAGATTAATTATTATGTGAATAATAAAAACGAGGGAAATAGTCTTTAATTTATGTATCAGCCACACCCTGGTAAGTTAACATTTGTATAGAAATAAGTTAAATTTATATTGATTTCTTGTAGACTAATCAAATACATTGTTTTATTCAAAGATGGGTAGAACAAGACCCAAAGGAAATTCTACAGTCTGTCTATGAATGTATAGAGAAAACGTGCGAAAAACTTGAACAGCTCAACATTGATATTTCCAACATAAAAGGTATTTTTTACAGAATATTTTACTTATGTGGTATTACTCTCTCAATCGTATTCATTTATTCTTTCAGCTTTTAATTGAGTGCTTATACAATGCTAGCTGTTTCTGTGAGAACTTGAGGACACAACAATGAACAGGAAGACTAAGTCCCTGTTCTCACGAACCTTTTATCTTGGTGAAGGGAGATACAATCAATAAAAGGAGACAAATACAAGCTACTTTCAGATACTAGTAAGTTCCATGCAGAAAATAAAAACTGAGAGCTGGGAGCATGGCTTAAGTGGTAGAGCATCTGTCTAGCAAGTGTGAGGCCCTGAGTTCAAACCCTAGTTCCTCCCCCACCAAAAAATTAAAATAAAAACAGTGATTTGGCTATGCTAGGGAAGGCCTCTCTCAGGAGGTGATACTTTTGCTGAGATTTCAAAAGCCCAAAGCAGTGAGCCATGCAACTATCTAGGGGAAGAGTGTTTGAAGAAAAGGACACAGCACATAGGAAGGCACTTATGTGAAAACAAGTTGGGATATTCCTGGGTCAGAAAGAAAGGCAACAAGTCAAGTAGACAGTAAAAAAAGATTGAGGTACAAGAGTGGATGGGGGGGAGAGGGTTTCAGTAGGAGCTGAAATTGAGGAAGTGGTTTAGGGACTTGTCAGACATGGTTAGGAGTTTGACTTAGTATCTATCACAGGAAGCTATGAGAAGGTTCTAAACATGGCAGCAGGGTATGACTTGCAGTTTAAAGACAACTCCCCAACTAATAGGTGCAAAATGGAGTATAATGGTCTAAGTGTCGACACAGGAGACCAGTGTGGAGGCTGCTGTGAAAGCCCTAAGAGAGGATGGTGGCTTGACCAACAGCAGTGGCATGGAGGTGGGGAGGAAGGGCCAATACTTGCTGATGGATTGGATGTCAGGGTAGTAGAAAGAAAAGTGGGGTGAGGGGAGGCGGTGGGTCAAAGGTGATGCTTGGGATTTTTATTGGCACTCCTGGATGGATGGGGATGCCTTTTTTCTAAGGAAAGACTAGAGGAAGGAATAGGGTGGGGGAAGGGGTTTGAAATTCAAATACTTCACTTACAAAATTTCCCTGAAATAATTGCTTGAAAGTATGAGATTGTTGCAGGTCTCTCTGAACACCTAATAGTTTTTATCAGAATATCTATCTACTTTTGTCTCTTCATCATTTAAGCAGGGAGAAAAAAAAATAATCCAGTCACCCAAGATTAATATAACAGTATAAAGAGTGGAAGTCTAATGTGATAATTGCTGTCTCTTTATAGCTTGTGTTATTTTTTTGAGGCAGGCCCTCACTACATAGCCTAGGCTACCCTTGAATTTGAAATCCTTCTGTCTTGGTCTTCCAAGTGCTGAGATTTCAGGCATGAGCCACCATGCCACATCCTTTTTGCAATTGTCAAGTGCACTTCTTCTATTTTTTTAAATTTTTAAAATTTTTTTGATGGTACTGGGGTTTGAACTCATGCAATGCCAGCTGGAGGTGGGAAGCCAACCACTCTACCCTGGGCTGGCTTCAAACTGTGATCCTCCTGATCTCTGCCTTTTAAGTAGCTAGGATTACAGGTGTGAGCCACCATTGCCCAGCTAAGTATACATCTTCTATATACAAGTATATGGTTTTATGTAAAGTTTTTGACGGCCTGGAAAGCTTTATATCCCTTCCCACATGGAAGTAGTAGCCAAAGACTCTTCCTCTAAAGCTCTTATTTTGCTCTGTGTGCTTCTAGATTTTTTTTCCAAAATGTGTTCCAGTTATAAATTATGATTCATTTATTTGTTGATGGTGTCACTGGTGATCAAATCTGTGCATGCTACGTACATGTTCTACCACTGACCTACATCCCTCAGCCTTATTTTATTTTTTAAAGGATTTATCCATAATATTACCAAGACAACAATTACTAATATCTTGAAGTATTTCCAAAAGCTTTTTTCTAATTACTTTTTCTTAATTGTTTTAATAACACTTGTTGTTCATTTGTTTTTTTCAGAAAGGGTCTTGCTTTGTAGATCAGGTGGGCCTCAGATTCAGTGATCCTCTTGCCTCAGCCTCCTGAGTGTTGGAATTATAAGTGTGTGCCACTGTACATGCCCAATTATAACCTTTCATAAGCAATTTTAAGCAAAATTTGACCAGAATATTTTTTTGCAGTACTGGGGTTTGAACTCAGGGCCTGTACCTTGAGCTACAATACCAGCCCCTTTTTGTGATTTTTTTTTTTGAGATAGAGTCTCACGAGTTATTTGCCTGGGGTTGGCTTTAAACCTCAATTCTCCTAATTGATCTCTGCCTCCTGCATATCACCACTGGTGCCAGGCTTTGACCAGAAATTTTTTTTGACCAGAATTTTTTTGTGGTACTGTGGTTTGAACTCAGGGCCTAATACTTGCCAGGCAGGTGCTCTACCACTTGAGCTACTCTATCAGTCATTTTTTGTGTTAGGTATTTTGAAATAGGATCTGGCAAACTATTTGCCCAGACTGGTTTTGAACTGTGATCCTTTCAATTTCTGCCTCCTGAGTAGCTAGGGTTATAGACATGAGCCACCAGTGCCCGGCCTTGACCAGAAATTTTGGATGTTAGCTTTTAACTAATTTAATTTTATCACTGGTAAAGTATGAACCTGCTATATAGGATTTTATATATGCTAATGATGTTGCTAACTGTAAGTAAATGACTGTGAGAGCAGGAAATGTATATTCTATGCATGTAGCATTCCTGTCTCTAAATGGTGCAGATGAACGTGGGTGGAGAAATAAAAAACCTGAATGTGTTATTCTGAGAAAAAGGGAATCAAAATTAGGAACCATTAAGAATGACACATGTGCTGAGATTAACAGCCAGAAAGTTTACTTTACAAAACATAGAGGATTTTAGGGTAAAATGAGAACAGGTTAGAACATTGGTGAAGCCCAGAGGCATTGCTTAAGACCTGTGTGCACTGGGGAGGAATGGGTAATAAACACGTGTTTGTGGCTGGAAGAGAATCCTGAGAGGTTTAACTGGACTTTGATTGTCTGCAAGAAAAGCAGTTTTACTTGGCTTGAAGGAATGAAATTAAGATAGGGAGAAAGAAGGAGTGGTCAGGGAGGAACCCATGAGGAAAGAATCAGATGGAAATAGCTCTAGATTAGATTGTGAATACAAGTTAGGAGCCAGTAAAGAAAGGTAGCTTGATAGGCATGTGACTCAAGGATTGTGGCTAAGAAAGCAGCTAACTGGTTTACTGGAAAATTAGTGAGGAGGAAATAGGAGACTTTAGTTGACCAATGTCACTAAAAAAAGTATCACTTTCACAATACCCTACCGTAGCAACCCATTGCCAGGGTTCTGCTATTATTTCCACACAATTCTGGGGAATTCCTTTATGTGTCCTACTGAGCTCAGTCCTCTTGTCTGTAACTATTATTCCATTCTCTCCTCAAAAATAATGACAATGACAGCAGCAGTAGGTAATATTTATTGAGCACAAAGTATATACCAGGCATGTTATAATATGCATTGACTCATCATCATATGGTGGGACTTTTATTTTTTCAATTTTACAAAGGATAAAATTATGAACAGAACAAAATCAACTTGAAATTTTAACTCCAGCTGTCTGGTTTCAGAGCCTAAGTCCTCCTAAATAGTTCCCTAAACTATTTTTTTTTAAGACAGGATCTCTCTATGTAGCTCTGACTGTCTGGAACATGCTATGTAGAGCAGGCTTGGATTCAAACTCATGATACTCCTGTTTTCAGCCTCCTGAGTGTTGGGATTATAGGCATGTGCCACCATACCCAGATTTTGATCCAATGTTTACATGGGCCTGTTTCAGCATATAACATCACCTACTACTTCAGAGAAGTGGAGGCCCTGGGACCTTAATTTCTCCATTTCTGTCCCCGTGGATCTCCTGCCTCCTTTCCTTCACTACAAGGGATGCAATAACGTAGCCCACTTGGGATGCCTCTGCCTTTGCTGATAATCACATCTGTTCCTGTCATTACATACCAGGACCATGTCCCATTGAGTCCTAGGCCCACATTTTAATTATCTTTCTTTCTTTCTATAAATATTTTTGTGTTTTATTATTACAAGTAAACAACCCAGAATCTCTTCCCTTTACCCTATTCTTCTGAGGTTCTTTGGAGCAGTTTCAATTATTGCTGGAGGTGTGGCTCAAGTATTAGAGCACCTGCTTTGCAAACTTGAATCCCTGTGTTCAAACTCCAGTTCTGCCAAAAAAAGAGAGAATTTCAATTATTTTTGTACCTCTAGAAAAGGTGTTAAATGAAGTCTGTATATCTGCATTGGATAAATAGTAGTAGAACAAGGGAGCTAATGGTCCCCTCAGCTCTGTGCTGGTCAGAACATTGCTGGAGTATTGTACTTCATTTTTGAGGTACATTTGGAATGTGTAGACATAGTTGCATATTCCTAGGAGTAGTGATGAAGGGACTTTACACCATGCCACATCAAAGCAGAGGCTATTGAAGGAAATTGGAAGACACGAGGGAGAAGTCTGCAAGTTTAGCTGCTTCATGTTTTGGAAAGACTGGTATGTGGAAGGAGAATTAACCTTATTTTTTATATTTCCAAAGAAAATGGCTAAGATGTGTAGATGGAAGCTACAAGGAAAAGGATTTTTTTTGGGGTGCTGGGGATCAAACCCAAGGTCTCACACATGCCAGGCAAGCACACTCTACCACTGAGCTATAGTCCCAGCCCATTTTTTTTTTATAGCACTGAGGTTGAACTCAGGGCCTCATGCTTGCTAGGCAGGTGCTTTTATCACTTAAGCCACTCTGCCAGCCCTCTTTTTTTGTGATGGGTTTTTTTAAGATAGGGTCTCTGAGCTATTTGTGTGGGTTGGCTTTGAATCATGATCCTCCTGATCTCTGCCTCCCGAGTAGCTAGGCTTTCAGGCATGAGCCACTAGTGCCTGGCTACCCCCAGACCATTTTTAAATTTCATAAATAAATACACACACACGCATATGCACACACATATATTTTCAGTACTGGGGTTTGAACACAAGGCTTCAAAATTGCTACTCAGGCACTCTACCACCTGAGCTACTTCTCTAGCTCCCAGAACTTTTTTTATTAATACCAAAGATATTGAGTAGAGATTGTTCTGCTTTGAGAGATGTAGTGTCTTGTCACTGGAAGTGCTGTCTGAGTAGTTATGTGACAGATGATTCTTCTTTTTTTTTTTTGTCTGTGCTGGGGCTTGAACTCAGGGCCTCACACTTGCTAGGCAGGCGCTCTACCACTTGAGATACTCCATCAGCCCCAGATGATTCTTTTCTTTTTTTTTTTATTGTTTTGCTGGGTGGGGGTACACTGTGGCATTTATTAAAGTTCTTAGAATGTATCAAATATATCATACTTGAATTCATCCCCTCCACCATTCTCCTTTATTCCCCTTCCCCAAAAGACGATTCTTTAGAAGATTTTTCGAATTTTTTTGTTGTTTGAGACAGGATCTCAAACAACAGACCAGGCTGGCCATGAATTTGTGATTCCCCTGCCTCCGCCACCTGAGTGCTGATTATAGGCATGCACCAACATACTCAGCTTCTTGAGAAGATTTGAGTATAAAAAAATATTGATTATGTAGCCTTTAATGTCTGTCCTAATCTTCAATTCTTGAAGAACTCAATCCTTTAGCCCAGGGTACTCTACCTGGAATGTACATTAGAATTACCTACAGAGTTTTAGGAACCAATACCAATGCTCAGATCCCACTCCATGTCAGTTAATTTGAAATATTTTGACCAGGGCTTGGGCACTGTTTTTTTTTTTAAATGGTACTGGGGTTTGAACTCAGAGCCTCATGCTTGCTAGGCAGGTACACTACCACTTGAGCCACTCTGCCAGCCATTTTTTTTTGTTATTATTTTCTTTTTGGTGGTACTGGGATTTGAACTCAGGGCTTCAAAGCTTGCTAGGCAGGCGCTCTACCACTTGAGCCACTCCACCAGCCTTATGTTGAGCATTTTCAAGATAGGGTCCACAAATTATTTGCCCAGGCTGGCTTTGAACTGCAATCCTCCTGATCTCTGCCTCCTGAGTAGCTAGGATTACAGGCATGAACCATCAGGGCCCAGCACATTGGCATTTTTTAAATGCTCCCCAGTTGATTCTACAGTACAGTCAACTCTGAGAAACTTCTGATTTAGCAGGACCCAACTGATCTGAATAATATTGGTATGGATTAATATTTTACTTATAATACCATATAAGTATAGCATCTGAGTTATAGGTAGGTCAGTATAATGTAAATGATATTACATATTGTATTTATGCAATGCAAATTTTTATGTATTGTGATAGCAAAATAAAGGAATAAAGCTGAATTTCTAGCCAATGATAAGGTTGCTCAGCATGAAAGATTTTGAATGTGGCTAATTAAATAAAATGCAGGTATGAACATACACACAAACATAGGAAGGGAAACTTCTTATAGCAATTGGTAAATGAATAGGGTGATTAATGGTCTGCTCAGAATAATAAACTAGGTATTATAAACCTGGAAAGTTATTGCTTTCCTTAAGGCAACTTGGGAATCTTTCTTTTGGATATCAATATGGGTCCATGTTATTTTGTGCTGGTAGAGAAGTGGAAGGAACATATAGAAGTAAAAAGAAAAACTTGGCATCAGGTGTTCACTTCTCTCAGGGCCACTCTAGGAAAATAAAGTAAATATCACCATACATATTCTAAATGTCTTTTTCTAATTGTTATGTTTAGCTGTGCCTGTAAGAAAAAGTGACAGCTATTCTCCCGAAGTAGTTTTCTGCTTGTTTAATTTTCTTATTCCCTTGTGTTTCACGTTCTCTTTAAAGCTATTGGTGTCAGTAACCAGAGGGAAACCACTGTAGTCTGGGACAAGTTAACTGGAGAACCTCTCTACAATGCTGTGGGTAAGCCATCATACAGAGGTTCAGTGCAGGGCCTCTCTCCACTTCCAAATGTGGTCACACTACAATGTCTTGAAACAAAATGCATGCAGTCATGTTTCCTATATTCTGATGGGATGGGCAGAAGAGTCTGCTAAGAAATTAGCTGTTGTATATTAATAATTTTTGGATCATATTTATTCACATATTCAGTTAGCTCTCTCCTATCCTCTCTCTTTTGCTGATTATTTGTATTATATAAATTGTTGAATGTTGCCAGAACTGTTTTAGAATCCCTGTGTTTCTGACATCTAAAAGAGATCTTATTTGTTCCTGCCCTCAGAAATTGAAATTACAAATACTGAAGTCATCTACCTGTAAACTACTTATATACTTATTATTCCATCTGAGCATTCCAATTACTTTTCTATTTTTTCTAAAAGAAAAAAAAGATAGCAAACCCAAGTTATAAGCAAGAAAAAATCTCATTCACTTGATGTATCTGAATAGTGTAAAGAAACTGTCTGCCCCGTATCTATCCGTTACGATTTCACTCAATTCGTCCCGGTAATCAAAAGGCAGCTTTTATTCTAGGGAGGTATGGTGACAATTAGAGCAGTATTTCAGCCCAATTTGTGTATCAGCCTCCCAATCCAATTACTCTTCTGAGGTTATAAAAATGAAATATCAGAAGTTTAGCTACTTTTGCTATAAATTTGGCTGTTTTAGTAAGGGTTAAAAAAACCTTCAAAATTTCAAGTCTATTATTTTACATACAACATCTTAGATGTAAATGATCACAGGTGTTTTACATCATCATCCTGGGCACATGACAGTTGTTGAGCACTAAATGATACTGCTTACTAAAAGGAAATTTGTGTTCTAAATCTATAATCATTAAAATGTTCCTGTCACAAATAGCAAATCACAAATTTTATTGATAAAATACCAGGTTGTGGGGTAGAGAATGGAGGTAGAACTTATCAGAGATGAGATGATTTATAGAGTGAGCTTTTGTTCCAACATAGGGTTTCACTGTGTTGCCCATGCTAGTCTCAAACTCCTGACTCAAGTGAACCTCCTGCTTGCTTCAGCTTCCAGAGTGCTGTGAATACAGGTGCATGTCACTGCCCATCTACAGTGAACTGGTTTTTAAAAACATTTTATTAGCATACATTAATAGTATAAGAGGCTTTCATTGTGACAATGCCATAGATGAGTACAGTGTACTTAGAACAAGTCCACCTCCTCTATTATATTCCCTTAATTCCCTTCTCTCTTCCCTTCCTTTTTCAAACAGTGTTTGGTGGGTTTCATTAGAGCTGTTTTTACTTTATAGTTATTTTAGTAATACAGTTACTTTGTATTTTGGGTTTTTGTTTATTCATTTTTTTGAGTTAGGGTCTTACTAGCTCAGGTTGGCCTTGAGCTGGCAGTCTTCCCATCTCACTCTCCTGAGTGCTGAAATTACAGGTGTGTACAACCACACTGAGCTTGTTAACTTTACTGTTGATTGGAAGAAAACATATGAAAAATGTGCAATGTAAGAGTAGCATGAATTCTTTGGGAACAGTCTTTATAAAAAATTAAGGAGCTTAATGTTACTGTATTATAAGAAAGCATTTGGTATGTGCTATATATTTGTAATTAAATAATACTATAAATTTTTTAAAGAATTACAACCAAAGATCTTTGTTTTTTGTGGTACTGAGGCTTGAACTCCGGGCCTACACCTTGAGCCACTCCATTGGCCCTATTTTGTGATTGGTTTTTTTTTGAGATAGGGTCTCTCAAACTATTTACCCAGGGTGGCTTTGAACTGGGATCCTCCTGATCTCTTCCTCCTGAGTAGCTAGGATTACAGGTGTGTGCCACCAGCACTCAGCACAACCAAAGATCTTATTGCACAAAAATACATCTTTTAACACTTTATTTTCCCATTCTCATGAGCACTTCATTTTGATTTTTTTGGGTCATACTGGGGGTTGAACTCAGGGCCTAATGTGCTAATATGTGCTAGACAGGCACTCTAGTTCTTGCTCCCACTTATATTCATTTTGAATATAAGTAAGGCAGACTATTACAACTAATAGCTATTGCTAAGGAGAGTATTTTTTAATAGACTGATGTTAGCTAACTTCTGGAATTAGTTGGGGTTTGTTGTAATTTAGTATCTTTAAGATAAAAAGCACTCCTTCGTCAACTCCCTGTGTAGCTATCCTTATCTCAACTAGCAAAAACCCTTGTTCCTTCCTATTATTGCTTATACTCTCTCTTCAACAAAATTAGAGATAAGGGCAAATTAGTTTCTGCCGGGTATCGAGGGGGTGGGGAGAGAGAGAGGGGGTGGAGTGGGTGGTAAGGGAGGGGGTGGGGGCAGGGGGGAGAAATGACCCAAGCCTTGTATGCACATATGAATAATAAAAAAATAAAAATTAAAAAAAAGCACTCCTTCAATGAATAGGAGAGACACAAGATGGAAATAAAGATATTTTTAGCTATAGGCTATTGGGCAGTATACAACATACCTGCAGGCCATACATACAGAGATCAGATAGGATAGGCCAACAACTTTATTGGGTCCAGGGCATTATCCAAACAGATTTCCTGCAGGGAAATATATTTGGTGAGTTTAAAGCAAACACAAGTTTCAGGAAGTCACTGTGACTGAGAAGTGGTCACTTGAATGTCTGAACAACCCATCTAGGATATGAGGGCCAGCAAGGCTAGTCAAGTAGCTTATGTAGTCCTTAGGGAGATGGTCATCAGGAAGAGATAGTGTAAGGCAAATACCTGGATCAACAACATTGAGGAACTGGGAGTGGTGACTATATCCTGCTTCTGGTGTGAGAACGTTAAACTTACACACACACACACACACACACACACACACACACACACACACGCGGTGGCAGTTCCAGGGGATTGACTTCAGGGCTTTGCGCTTGCTAGGCAGGTGCTGTACCACTTGAACCACATCACCAGCCCAAAATTTAGATTTAAAAGGATGCCTACACAACATAAAATTATAAGAATCCACAGCATAGTGTTACTTTTTCCCCTCCCCTAGCAAAAGGAAAGGCCTACTCAAGGAAATCAGAAAGTTCCTGTTAAATTCTAAACTTTGAATTGTAAAAATGGAATGTTGGACTTTGAATTGTCATTCTAAAATAATGCAACTAGGTTAGTTGAAGTTATGCTTACAGTGAAAGATTTGAGTAAATAATTTACCTGAAAAATCATTCCTTCATGTGCTTATTTACTTACTTCCTCTCTTCTATCTGTGCCCCTTTGCACCTTTCTCCAATTCCACGTGCTTTGGAGTGTTAATTCAAATGTACTTATCACATATGAAGAACTTTTTTTCTGTATTGAGCCATGTATATGTTTTGAGAACCTCTTAATATATTTGATACTATCTTGCATGTCAAAGAATGCAAATTACATAGCTTTTTTTGTGTGTGTGCACTGATGTTTGAACTCAGGGCCTCATGCTTGCTGGGCACCAGCCCTTTTTGTGATGGGTATTTTCAAGATAAGATCTCACAGGGTTATTCCCATGGGGCTGTTTGAATCACTATCTTCCTAATCTCTGTCTCCTGAGTGGCTAGGATTACAGGTATGAGCTGCCATCACCTGGCTAGATAGGTTGTTTTTATAAGCATTTTGCATCTAGTTTTGGAAAAAGGAGAACAGAAAATTAGGAATTTGTGTGCTGCTGAATTGAATAGGAATTAGAACAAGTCCAGGCAGTATGGATTTTTAACTTGTGCCATACCTTTTATAGTAAAGGTTATACTTCATTGGGCCTTAAAGCAAGTGTTGAATTACATCAGGAAAAGGAAAAATTAAGGAATATTGTGAACAAGCTATAAAGGCAAAAATGTATACTCACATTTCACTAGAGCAAAGAGATTGATCAAATTTGAGCATAGGTTGGCTTATCTTTTTTTTTTTTGGTGGTACTGGTGTTTGAACTCAGGGCCTCATGCTTGCTAGGCAGGTGCTCTACCACTTGAGCCAACAGTTTTTTGTGATGGGTATTTTTTTTGTGTGGTGTTGGGGTTTGAATTCAGGGCCTACACCTTGAGCCACTCCACCAGCTCCTTTTTGTGATGGGTTTTTTCGAGATAGGGTCTCATGAACTATTTGCTCAGGGCTGGCTTCTAACCTTGATCCTCCTAATCTCTGCCTCCTGAGTAGCTAGGATTATAGGCATGAGCAACCGGCACCCAGATAAAATTGTTTCTTCTAGCTATTTTTTTTTGCAGCACTGAGATTTGAACTGAAAGCCTCCTGCTTTGTAGGCAGGTGCTATTACTGCTTGAGCCACTACACCAGCTCTTTTTTGTGATGTGTATTTTCAAGATGGGATCTCACAAACTGTTTCCCCAGGCTGGCTTCAAACCGTGAACCTCCTGATCTCCGCCTTCTAAGTAGCTAGGATTATAGGTGTGAGCCACTGGCACTCAGCAGTTTATCTTAATAGAAGGAGTAGTAATAATAATGATCAATAAGCTCTAACTGCTAGTACTATGGGATTGCACCATATATTTAACTCAAATTATTTCATCTCGGTGACCATGTGAGGTAGATATTGCTAGCCTTACTTTATAAATTATGGAAAAGCTCTATAACTTATCCAATGTCATATAGCTTTAAGTCGAAGTAAAGCCACAGCCTTAACATAAATAGTTCCCAACTCCAAAGCACATATAGGGATCGATGAAAGCAATGCATAATAATGTAGACTCTTTACAGTCATCAGCTTGTGATTAAAAAGGGGTAATAAAGGAGCATTGTACAGTGGTGGAATGGGTTATTCAAACATACTGGTCTGCTGAGATGAGCTAGAAAAATGAAACAAAACTTCCACATTCAAATAATATGAAAATCTTATGGATTAAGATTATATGAGATTGCTAGTGCCACTAGACTGTTTTTTTTTCTTTTTTGGTGTTACTGGAGTTTAGACTCAGGGTTTGATGGTTGAGAGGCAGGCACTCTACTGCTTGAGCCATACC